GTCGAACCAACCAATTTCTTGGTAGATGACATTTCTAAACATAGCTAATCGCATTTTATAGGCCTGACGTTGCCCGACCAGGCCAAACAAACCCAGCCCCATCCAGGCAAAACCAAAATTCGCTATAGCTATTCCAATATACCAATATGCTATTGTTGTCGTAGAGTCTTCTAAGTCGGGCTCCGTACTATTGGTTATATTTAATATCCATAATGTGTGTTCGACAAAGTCGTCTGTTAGAGAGCCGAATACGATAAATTGAGCTGGTGAAACTACTCCATAAAGGCAACTGCCCATCACTGCTAAGACCAGCAACGCTTTGTCCGTACTGTCTACGAATCTGAACTAAAATAGGAGAAAGAGATGAATTTTAGGATAGCAGTTATCGATTCTGCGTTAACGTAAACTAAACTAAGGGGCCGGACCATTAGAAAGGTTATGGGGGGGGGGGGGGGCGGTTAGATACTCCGGTTCCTAATTCGTGTGGGTGTACAATACAGGTGCATGTTTATTCTTAATTATCTAACTCTCGGGCTCTTCGCAGCCAAACTCAAATTGTGCCTCAAGACAAGAACAGGAACAGCTCTCCTCCATCTGAATCATGAGATCGGCTATATATATAGATTTAACTAATGTAACATACCAAAGACCCAAAAGGAACTTGTGGTGCATCTTTCCTCCCACTAGAAATACAGAAACACATTTCATTTTAGGATTTTCTTTGCAGTCTGGGTTTTGTGGAAGATGTTAATAAACTCTGGTTTCCATTTATCCACGCCTGTCATGGCCAAATCGTGGTCACCGACACATCTATCTTGTCTTTTGTGTGCTGTATGCAAAACACATCTCAACCATTACAGAGATTCTATTGCATCGTTTGCTGCGGACACCCCTGTCTAAGCTCGCACCATCAATACACCCTTTCTATAATTACGTCACACATACGTTTTTGGTCTTGGAGCCTCGCTCTCATCAGTAAATTACGCAAGGTGATTGGCTCACGTTTCATGAGAGCGAGGCTCCTAGGCCAAGTGACGTAATTATCGAAAGGGTGTGTTATCAAGAAAAACGTGTCATGTCATTATTAAGGCCGTTCAGATGTTTAGTGTCCATACGGTCGGTTTCCTCGCACGGGACCCAAGACTGGAAAATATAGCGGACCATGGAACCACTGGGGATTGGTGAGCCCAGAAAATTTTTGTGGTGAGCAGAAGAGCCACTCACTATTACTTGAGTGTACGCATGTAAGGACGACGGCTCCACAAACTGTTTGAAATAATGATTGTATGAAAATCTTGTCTTGTGTTTACTTTCGTATAAATTTTATACCGTTTCGGAAGAGTCAAACAGAGCTTTAACCTTCAGAGCAATTTTGATCATCTCTGTGCAAGAAAACTACCTGTCACGACTTGAAATGCTATAGCCTACTATACGAGCTGTGAAAATATGCATTTTGCCGTCGTCAACAGCGCTTGGACGATGCCTAAAACCCCTGTTATAGACGTTTAATTATTCATTTCTTTTGTGCTATAGGATTTTATTAAAATGTCATTGTGTTGATGGCGGGCGTCCTGACGTCGCCGTCTTGTAAACTCACTAATTTCCACGTGACTTGCGTGCAAACTGGAAACTTGACATATGCGAGCCTTCATGTCAGTTCATACAAAGGCTGCTACTAAGGAATTTACACAATTCATACACATCTTGAACTTTGAACTAGGCCGTGAAGGGTCCAACGACTTGAAAAAAAAACTAGTTCGTTGCCACTGGCAGAGCATACTAGTCATACAAACAATATTCGATACAATTCCTCACAGGATATTAAGTCATAAAAATTTATATGTCATAGTTATAACATACGCCTATCCAAACAAGCTTTATATAGCGAGTACAGTCGGTTGAATCTCAAACTATAGAGATAACTATAATAGTAACGGCTTACAGTTCAGTTTATTTAAAATTATAACCATTCTTATAGTTTTGTGTTCATCAGTTATGATGTGCCTTGAGCTCTACTTGAACTGTTTAGTATTTAATGACTGTCTACAGTCACTACACTTACCTTGAGCCAGAAGAACTCCCCTTCGGTTCAAAGCCAATTTCCACTGGTTTATTACTACCCGAACTGGATAAAAGCGGCGTTTTTTCGTCAGCCATTATTAAATCCTACGTTTAGAAGCCTGACCTTTCTAGCCCTAACAGTGAAGGTTAATGTGCGCCATTAATATACAAGATTGTCATGTTTGAAGGAAGTTGATTCATTTAAAATTCACAATTTAGCTAGTATGGTTGCCCTAGCGTGAAAATTATGCCGAATGTGACAGGAAAACGACAGATATCAACAAAATCAAAGACTCGCTACACAAATAAAAGTTCTTTAATATTTGTCCAAATTATGCATGAATTTTGGTTAAAATGACTTGGTTGTCACTAAGTACTGTTTAATGTAACTATAGCTAGCAGAGAGTTTAAGCTTCGCGTTCATACGCCAAAGGGCGAACGGCGGGAAAAGAAAGGCAGTAATGAACCTGTTGTTTCAAAAGTGCAATGCATAACATATAGATAAGATTTTGCCGTTGTCTGTCAGTTGTAGATACACAATATGACGTCAATATGACGTCATAATGTGGGAAGAACAGAAAAGTGGTTCACGAGTCGCCGAGGCGAGTGTCTTGTGACATAAGAAAAGAAGAAGGTAAACGAAAATTCTGCCAAGCCGGAAATTTTCGGCCCTGCCCTCTAGTTAATAACATGACCAACCCGCAGAGAAATGTCAAGTGATAATGTCCGCATGACTTTATGGCGTCGGTTCTTCAAAGGTCACATGAATTGAAATTTAACACACTGTTTAACCCTCGGGGTGCAGTCTGTTCATTTTAAAACTATAGAAAATAAGACCCCTACTGATTCAGACAAGATTTCGGGAAAAAGATTTCCATGTTTATGAACAATCTGTTGAGCCGAAGTTTGCTTTGACGTTTTTAGGGGCTGCTCATATGGCGCCTGCGTGCAGCTTCAACCCGACTTTTTAAAATATTCCCACCGTGGTCAGGCGAACTTTTCAGCTTGCCCGGTGTGGATGCACACGGCAGAGTAACCGGCACAAAGTGCCACAAACATCAACTTGATATTTAAAAAAATTCAGGTTGAGCCCGCACGCAGGCTACTCATAAGGGGCTGTTCATTTGGAGCAGGGCTGACTGATGATCTGTTTAATAAAACTTTTATCACGGCTTTGACAGACACCTAAAATTGCATTTCAAAGTTGAATTAGTTTAGTCTGATTCCATGTAAAGTTCATTCATTTTTTATGTTCAAGATTTTTTATGGTCAGGAAAAAGTTTTCGTGACATAATCCAACCCCGGATTAAGCTAAGAATATTAAGATCCGAGCCGTTTTTGATCAAACTAAGCTTTGCGAAATAATTGTATTATCCACAAAACAAGACAATTTTAAAATTTAATAAAAACCTTATTACAGTACTTTACAATATAATACAATGTTGTATATAGCTAAATTAGCTATGAAACACGCCAAAGCATTAAATTATTTTTGGCAAGAAATGGATGAAGCAAAACGAATGTCGCTGTTTATAATAGTACAAAAATTTGGTTAAGCCTTAATGTTAAGCCTAGTCAGCGGTGTGAGATTAGCACAAGCACCCATGCATGTAAACCAGGCTTAACGGTTAACCAAATGTGTCTATTAAACATTTGTCAAATGTATTGTGACCATGTTCAAAATGTTTTGAAAATATATTGAAGCATGTTCAAAATGTTTTGATTACATGAAGTACTAATAACTTTCTGGGTACATTTCTCTCAAGGCTCTCTTCGCTTCTTCATGTCCGCCATCTGCTGCAACTTTCAACATATTTTCAATTTCGCTAAAATAAAACACAAAAATATAACATCTTACGGTTGGTACAGCATCTACTAATTCTTCTAAACTAAACTGAAATAAGTTAAACTAAGATCTCCCTACAATCTTGGACATAATTGGCTGAGACTATTTTCCCTCCTATACAAAACTCACATATTTTTATGATAAACTCCGTGTTGAATCATGTGGCCCTTCTTAAGCCCCCGCTCCCCCAACTCAATGTTGAGCTTGTATCATGGTATATTACCAAAAGTTGTTTCGGCGTTGTTTACAACAGTGAACTGGGGGGAAGGGGGAGACAAAGTTTGTTTTGTGAATGTTCAATAACTTTATAATATTGGCTGGAATGGTCTCAAGGGTTTTGTCCAAAATTGTAGGTCCAGTATAATGGTCGTCTCTAATTGATCAAATGGAATGGGTGGTTCCCATTAGAGGAAACTAGAGAACCTGGAAAGTGGAGAAAACCTATAGTGTGTAGTAGCGCATGCGTTGTCCCCCGCCCTCACCATACCGTCGTTAGAAGTGTAAAAATAAACTTACTGTTCTTGTAGATCAGTCTTAAAACCCTGAAAATGAGCCGCTACCAAATTATATGCTCCACCAGCATGACCATTGTCCGCTGCTTGTCTAAAAAGTTTCCGAAAGACTAAGAGTTAGTTTGCACCACCCTTGGAACATCAGTTTAATGAGTTTAACAAACGACCATCTCTTGCTCGCCACATCCTTTATTTATTATATTCATATTTTGGCGTTAAACATATCGTAGCTACAACATTCACAGCCGTACTTGCCTAAAAGGTTCGCTTCTCGTAAAAAAAATATTTATGAAAACACTATTTGCGAGTTGTCGGCGATACTAATGAAAATAGTTTATTTTACCTGAACCAATACATAGCCTGCTCGTGATCCTGATTCGTACCATGACCTAGTGAAAAACAAAGTTGAAGTCTCATTTTACACTAGAATAAAAAGAATTAGTAGAAGTAAAAGAAAATCAGTAGAAATCTCATTTTAAAATTTGTCACTAGACTCACATAAGAATGGTTAAGAATTTTTTTGCTGCAATTCTTGGGTTTCACTAAGGCATTATGCAGTGAATCTGACGGGGGTCAACCTCAAATGTATTGATGCTTATGCTGTACTGGAGTGAGAAAATGATACGAAATTCCATGTATTTGTCACCAAACACAAGGCTAAAGGCGCATACAGACCGGACGCGATTTGGCAACGCGACGCGAATTTTCAGTTTTCAATGATATTTAACTCTAATATTTTTTAATGTTTTTCAAATATTCGGAACTACTTAAGCAATTTCAGCTATTTAGTCTGCATATCTTGTAAAATTTTTATCCGTTGACGGTTTTATTTGTTTTGAAAACTGAAAATTCGCGTCGTGTTGCCGAATCGCGTCCGGTCTGTATGGGCCTTAATACATAAAACGAACAATCGACTCACTCTGATAACTGTGTTTTGTTTGGGAGTTGACCCTCCGTCACTTCTGTGACGTCATATGAAACCCAAGAATTTGTTGTGCGATCTTCTTCTGATGGATGTGAACGAGTGGATGAGTTATGAATGTTCAGATTAGGGGACATATACTCAGAACATTCGCAACTCATCTACTCTTTCACATCCATCAAAAGAAGAAAATCGCGCTACAGAAATCGCAGCGAAAATTGCAAAGTTCAGATTTGACTTCTACTACCGCTACCGTTAAGGGACCATCAACCAATCAGATGTGTTTCATATATTCAATTAACCAATCAGATGCGTTTGATATATTCAATTAACCAATCAGATGCATACTAAGCCATGCAGGTAGTGGTAGTCAAATCTGAACCTCTATAATATCAGACACTTGGGACTGAACCTTTGATTATTTCTGTATTGTTCTTTTGTAGGAAACTGGTCCAGGAATCTCACGAGATGAGAGATGTCTGTTTGATAAAAGGTATCTGTACGTTTTCTTAAAATTTATTTTTCTCTTACCTCGTAAATATTTATGTGCGACATGATGCTGCGCTGTACTACTACCAATTCTCGCATACGCATGCGTAACGTGGAAATGGAGGTGGTCGATGTAGTAATACATGTAGATGAAAAATAATATCACTGAAACCACGACGAGAACCTAAAAATAACAGCAATTTTGTTTCCATTTATATTGCTAGTTTAATGTCATGTCTGGTGTTGGTACCATGTGTCGGCGACCTACAATCCTGCTCAAAACTATCAGCGACCACTATTAAAACTCCCTCCACCCCCACTGACCCCCCAAAAAAGCAATGTTGGACATACATCAATTGCATTAACTGTGTTTTGGGAATGATATCAACATCGAATGGTGGGGGTAAGGGGGAGGTTTTTCAACAGTAACAATAATATTACAAATTTTGGTCCAATAATTGCCGGTATAGTGTTGCAGATGTTTTGCCTATGCAGGATTATAGGTTTAATTTCTGGATTATGCAATTATCAGTGATATTTAACAAATATAAAATATTTTCCGTGTTGATATACTGTACAGTTATATTAACACGAGTGGAAATTGGGAAAACGATAAATTGTGAGTGTTGATATAACTATATATCAATACGGAAAAAAGTTTTTATATTTGTTTTATAATATAGCACAAAGAAATATAAAGAAAGAAATTTTCCGACGTTTCCGTGTTGACATTAGGGGCTTGCATGGACGGCAAACACGACGACGACGGCAATCAATACAATGAGTCAATGAAAAGTGAATAAATAATTGAAGTCCCAGGGGAGTTTCAGACGTGGTCGTCGCTCTGTTTACAACGGCAAATCACATATTTTCACGTCTTTTATACAACGCCTGCATTTCAAGCCGTAACAAGTGCAACTTAAAGTTCGGTCAATGGAACTCTTCTCAGACATAAAGCCAATGTTTTCAGCTTCTTATACTGTATTAAATTCATACGAATTATAATATACGACAAGTTTTCTTTACTATCATTTATTTGAAGGAATTTGTTTTGGCCGTCGTCGTCGTGTTGCCGTCCTACATGCTTATTGAGTTATATCAACACGGCTCTTAGCCAATCAGCGTTCAGAATTTACAAATGCTATATTATAAATCTGATTATAATTTCAACTCTCTCATGTGTAAAGGCCCCGGTTTACACTTGCAATTTTTGCTCCGATTTTAGGTACGATTTTCTTCTTCTGATGTATGTGGACGAGTGAGTGGATGAGTTAGGAACATTGAACTATAAATAAACTGGAACGCTAACTCAGGGGGGGGGGGATTGAAGCCAGTGCATTTTAGTTTTTCTGAGTTATGAGCAGAAATACTCAACACTGAACGTTGGGCTATATATCAAATTGAAGCTATTGAAAAACGCTATTTGGTGTAGAAATTTCAAGACTTTAGCTAAAAGGGAAATATCGAAAAACTACAAACATAATTACCGATAATTTGCCGTTTTGCAGTTGTTTTTGTATTTTTTAAATATTTTCTTTTCGCTGAAGTCTTGAAATTTCCACACCGAATAGCAATTTTCAATAGCTTCAATTTGATATATAGCCCGACGTTTGGGGTCAAGTATTTCTGCTCATAACTCAGAAAAACTATTTTGGCTTCATCAAATCATAGGCCTTCATGATAGCAGTTAGCGTTCCAGTTTATTTATAGTTCAATGGTTAGGAATGTTTAGACGAGGGTACATATACTCAGAGCATTTATAATTCACCTATTCGTCCACATCCAGAAGAGGAAAATCGCACTAGAAATCGCTGCAAAAAATTGCGAGTGTGAACGAGCCTTTCAAAGAAGGTTTGCAGTTTGACTCTAGCAAACACTGCTGGTTTTACCGGTCGCTCCAATTTGTTCCTCTAAAAAGTGGACAAAAACTGTGCGGGAGTTTTGAACATCCATATATGGAGAACACTTTAGAATTAGCAGAGCTATCTAGAAGACTGGAACAGGTATATTTTGCCGTGTAATTTGACCGCACATTATAATTGCGAACTTGTCAAAATGTGGTTAAATATTATTAATATAACACAAACTGCGGGAAAATTATTTTCACGTAATTATACAAAACTCAATTGCTTGTAAATTTGTTATCGGGAATTTTATATGCTTAAAGTTTGTTTTAATTTTACTTTTAAATTAACGAAAAAGAATTATCTTCTCAAATTCTATAAAACGATATAAGGTGGTGTTGACCAATAATTCATATATGTGGATTTTGTTGGCCTTGAACTAACAGTTTTTGAATACGAAACAAAATTAATTTGCAATTATATGAAGGAAAGTCTCAAAAGTTTGGCTAAACGTATAACAATATTTACGGCATATTACATATATCTTATAACTTTTCCCTATGCCTATGGCTATGTTTCATTATGTGAATTAATGCAATAATAGCCTTGAAGAAATTGTGTTAAGATATAATATGTTATCATAGTTAATAGAATATTTCGTGCCAGAAAGTATTACACCAAGCCTTAGGCTTAGTTGGCTTGTGTTGTTGTAACGTTTAAGGTACAACAAGGGTTGTGCCAAGGGTTTAAAAACCCTTGGCAACTAGGAAACCTTGTTTCCGAAACAAAATCACATTTGGAAAACGAAATAAATTGTTGGGGGAATATTTTTGCTTTCTTTGGCTGTGTATCAAATTGTTTCCGCGACAATGTCAGGCCAAGGCCAAGGGGATATGGGAGAAAATTTTTCAATGCAATGTCTCCGCTATATGCTTTCTTACTTTGCCCATGGAGACCTTTATGCTTTTAGCTATAACGGTGTATGTACATGTATATAAACTGACGTCGTCTTTACCTCAAGCGCTACAATCCACCAAGGATCTGGCTTTTTCTTCCTTGCGAGATAAACTTTTGGTCCGTACGGTAGCAGTGGATCATATTCCGGGCCATCCGGAGACCACGGCGCCTTATAACGGCGTCTCGGCCCTTCCTCTTGCATCTCAGTTTCAGACATGTTTCATGCGAATGCTGTACGAAGAACGTTTTATTTACATCTTTATGCATGCCAGATTGGGACAGGTTATTGTGACAGCCAATAAAACGTACGCATTCCTGTGACAGGTGCACTCTACGAGCGTCTTTCTCATTGTTGCTTGGCAACAGTCCGGGGCCGGTTGTACGAAGATATCATGTAACCGTTCATTGGCCGTTGATCATAAGCGTTTTTCAAAACGTGCACTAAAACTGTAAAAGAGCCGATGAAGTTGGCCCGTGTTGATATTTTCCCGCGGCAAATAACCTCGGAAAGTGAGTTTTTCAACCTTTGTAAAAGTGCCTGAAAATTTGGGAAACTACGGATATCATGGACCCCAAAATAAATGGAAAACGATGTATAACTTAATCACTTGATAGTGAACACGCTTCATATTAAATAGCTGAAAAGCTAAAACGTGCTGCGTGTTATTATCTATATTGTATCCGTCGAAGAAGAAATGTAGAAATGCAGTATGCCAGTAAGAAAATTGTCTCATAAATCTCTCTTAAGCCGAATCTCTCTCAAACGAAGATATGACGGTTGATGAGAGTTGGCAGTCACGAATACAGGGGCAGGGGGTATTTCAAGCTCTATAGATTAACAAAATAAAGGTTTGATAAATACATGATAGTGTTTGGGAAAGCCCAAGTCTCGTGTACTCTCATCTTCGTTTGATCTGGGCTTTAGTTATTCTCGATTATTTGGTCGTTACTACTTCAAACTGTTAAAGAGATGAAGAACGTTTCCAGTGGAAGCTCCTTGTCTGGAGTTAGTGGAAGCTGCCAAATAAAACGTCGTTTCTATCGATGCTAGGAAGAGTAATATCTTCTGTGGGATAGTAAAATTCACTTTCACTACAGTCTTCATCGTCTGCAGACATTTTAATGTTTTAAAAAGTAGCCTTTGAACTCGTCTTTAAATACCCTGCGAGCAAAGTCCTCTCATATTTCTTCGAGAAAAAATACGAGAGGACTTAGCCTGTGTTCCAGTCCACTACACCGTAGTGGACTGGAACACAGGCTAGAGAGGACTTTGCTCGCAGGGTAGTCTTTAAATTCTTAAAAATAAAAACATTGGCTCTACGGCTGCTTTAAATCTCGCGCGGTTCGTACGGGCCCATATACGGACCGCTCGCGTAGCCAATCAGATTGCAGAAAAGCGTAAAATATGATTTCGGACCGCAAGAAAACAAATATAAACACTTATTTTCCAAGCACGATCAACAAAATCTCGTCACATTTGTATCTGTAATATGTTATAGAATCATGCAATATAATAATGGCATTGACGATTTCTCAATTACATTATTTATAATTATAAAGTTGAATGATGGTCTGTCATTTTGAATATAATAAAGTAAGGTCACGAAGTGCCATTGTGTTTACATGAATCAATGGTTTATATATATAGCTACTGACTACTCTAACTGTTATCATGGTCGTTGTCTCGTCGTGATTGTTTGCTAAAGCCTCAGCTCCTTATGTCAGAGTCACTTTGAGTCACTTTCAGTCCATCAAATCCCTGTATACCACATTTCTTTCCAGCCAATTGACAACCAAACTGAATAGCATCTTTGATCAACCTCCCTCGATTTAAACAAAATATAACACCAGCAATAAACGTATCCCCGGCTCCTAGTGTATCGACGACTCTCTCGGGTGGGTAGGCGGGTGATGAACAGATCTCCTTGTCACACCCCCTGGCAACTGCCCCTCGCTCTCCCCATGGGCAAATAAGGACTGAGGTAGAGTGTACTTGAGTCGAAAGCCCGTTCACTGTTTCTTCGGGCGTGGTGAAGCCAGAAAACTGCGCGAAGTCTTTTCCAATGAATATTACATCTGCTTCTACTTTGAAAAGCGGTTCAAATTCGGGCCGTTTTTTCTCAAATTCAACTGATATTTTAATTTGTAATTTTTGTTCTCTACCAAAATCCCTGACTTTCTTTATCATCTTGATAATTTCATCAACATTTCTCCTTCCCTCAAAATGAATCCAAGAATATAAACTTAAATCGAGTTTGTCAAAATCAGTTAATTCTAATTCGGGTAAGTTATTGCGGGCATGAATTATAGTTCGTGAGCCACACACTGAATTTATTAACACACACGAAGTCGGAAAACCGCAGTTCTTATTAACCGGACAATTTTCTATTAAAACCCCTCGCTTTTGTAAGTCTTCTTTCACATATTGCCCTTCGATTCCTGTATTGAGAGAACATAAAAGTTCACAACTTGTGTCTAATGTTTGGGTTAATACTACAGCCGTATTTGCAGCATTTCCGCCTTTTTGCCAACGCTGTGACAACGCCCTTGTGTCCTCGTCTTCTCGGGGATAACGGTCAACTGTATTGATTATATCTAAACACGCTAAACCAACGACTAAAATTCGTTTCATTTCTCTAGTCCTGGCATCCGCCATCTTGCAAATATCCGCTAGCGTATTTGTGCTATTCTCCATCGCTGAAAAGTCGGAAACACGATTTTTCTGAGTGGGTTCAGTGACCTTCGATAGAATTTTAAATTAACTTTTACTTTTTTTTTATTTTGCATGATAGATTCTTTAAACTAGGTTTCTAAACAAAAAGGTAAAATTTTGTAGTCTTCGCGTTGGTTTTTGGCCGGACATCACTTATTTATTGTTGATTGTGGTTCGGATTGAGGTCGGAAAGGTGTCGGTTTGCATCGTTTGCATATATGTATCAATATATCATACATCAAAAGTCACAATCCTTTACACATGTTTTGGTTCGTTCAGAACTGTTTATATTATGTAGCTGTTTATCTTGGCATTTAAATTTTCTGAAATGGCGAAGAAAAGATGCCCCAAATGCCAACAAACTGTAAGTAAATACTTGTGTTTTTAATAAATAATATTTGACTCGCATTAAAGTGTATTTTATTGAAAAAATTCATTTGTATTCCGTACGTATATTCATGAATATATTTAATAATGCAAAAATTTTACTGTAAAAAGTATGTTGTTTATAAAATATAAACATTTTCGTTTTTGTAGGTTTTAAATTGTATTTTTATGCCATTTTAATTCCATAATTGGGAATTGGCACACTAGCTTATAGAAATTACTATAATGCGATTGAAAATTTAGTCGATTTGATATATATTAAAATGAAATTTATAAAATTTAATTAATGTTATCAATAATTTGATCTTTTTAGCTTCCTGTTGCCTGCAAGTCATGCCCGTGTGGCCATATATTTATTGCCAAGAAATGTTCAACATCTAAAGATTCAGATGGTATGTTGTATTTATTATTGTTTGTATATATTTAACAATTTGAAACAATTTCTAGGTTAACCCATCAAGCTGCAGAGCTTCCCCATTGACAAGTAAAATCATCTGGCATTAGACAAGTAGAAAAAAATAAGTAGTGCGCACTAGGGCTCATTCTGGCTCAATGGGTTAACTAGAGAGATTGTCAGATTTTTTTTGTTTTAATCCATTAAGCTGCAGAGCTTCCCCATTGATGAGTTAAATCGTCTGGTGTTAGACAGGTAAAAAAAATAAGTAGAGCGCACTGGGGCGCATTGCGGCTCAATAGGTTAACTAGAGACATTAGGGCCATTTATACGTGACAAAATAAGTCGCGACTTACATAAGACGTGACTTATATAAGTGGAGTTATCGCATAAATGGTTCTCTACGGCTTTGGTCTTATTTATTTGCTATAGCTATGTTGTCCAAAATTTCTTATTTAAGACGCGACTTAAATAAGAACAGCTAAAAGACCTGTTGTTATGTAAGACGCGTCTTATCCAAGACGCGTCTTACATAAGAATTTTGTACCTTTTATACGACAAACTCGCGTCTTA